TCTCCTGTCTTTGATTTCACTAGTTTTGAAAATTCCTATTGCTGCCTAGTGGCTCAGTCCTGATTTTTTCTTCCTTGGAGCTTTCTGATCACCTCAGCTAGGAGTTGCTGTCATCCCTGAGGTTGAATAGTCACCATGAGTCGATTTCTTTGTATTCACATTTTTCTGTATTGCTTTTCATATTTGGTTTTGTAAGACTGTATGCTTTAAGATTTTCCTCTGTTCCTCTGACCTGCAAATCAAAACTCTATATAGGAAGTACCTAGCCCTTCAGAATTTGTGCAGTTTCATCTGCTTTGTTCTAAAAAATAGAAGTCTGTAAGTAACTGGTGACTGGCATCCTTTGCAAACGAAAGGGCTTAAACAAGGGTTTAAGGGAGGCTATTTTAGTAGCAAAATGAATCATCTTGAAATAATCTAGTCCTCTGCGTGTGACAAAACATGTTGTACTGCTCAAGAAATGCCCTTATGATGTTTAATTTTACAGGAATTGGCTATCCTATTCCTGCTATCACCTGTGCAATTGAACATTGTACCAGAGATTGACCTGCAAGTGGGCAGAGGGTCAGATTGCCACATATATCATTAATTTGTCCAAATTCTGTGTAACTATTAACTTGAGGGCATGAAGTCTAGAGGACTAGGCTAGTTAGAGAGGGGCAGAAGGGGCAAGACCAAAAGGACCTAAAGCCTTGCAGAAAGCAGAATCCAGTAGCATTGATAGCACTGGGCTTAGTACCTTAAAGTGTTTCCCATGGGAAACTAAGTGGCCTAATTTGGTATTCTTGGTGCAGAGATGCAGAGGTTGGCCTGATGTAACATAAATCTACATACTGTACTTGAATAACGTTTTATTTTAAGAATAATTTTGTATTGGCTGACCTGTAGCATGCAGAATATTTTTATATTCTTTATTATTTTATAGAGAGGTTTCAAAAACTTAATATATAAGGATAGTCAAAACAGTGGTATCTTCATTATGAGGCTCTTGGGACCTTATCCCACTGGCAGTTAAGTTACAAGAATTTTGTTTCTGACTTTAGTGGATAAGATCACAGGTTTTGTGGGAGCAGGGAGAAGTTAGGCTCTGAACTGGAAAGTGCATAATGCTCTGTTGATCTCCACTGGAGTTGAGTTAACAATAGGCTGGGGAAGTTAATATGCTTTGGTTAAAGTAGTGAAAACATATGATCCTTCATTTTGGATTCTTTTTTTTAATAAAAGTATTGGCATAAAATTGGATATTTCTATGTTTAAATGAGTTTTAATGAGTGTTACCTTATTTTTGCAGGGCTCTAGTCTTTAGATAAAAATAATCTATTTTACTCAGCATTTTTCAGTTATGCATATTTAATATAGTCCTGTTGCCTAAGAAATTATTTGTATGAGGGGGAAGAAAAGAAACGTTTATTTTAAAGAAGCAAGATATTTACTTTTCAAAGCTCAGTCATTGAATGTATGGCACAAGAAGTGGTCTCAAAGAAACATAAGTCTTCATTTTATTTTTTATGCTGTACCACAAATAATTTTGAGTGGCAAGACAACTGTTTACAAAGCCATGGAGCAGTTACGAATGTCCGCAACCAGGATACTCTATAGCTGTATTGCTATCTGGAAAGAGTATCTGGTAGCTACTGGAATAAAAACAAATTTCTCACATGATTCCCTTTGATACCAGTTTTGCTGCATCATCAGGTGCTTAACGCTAAAGGCAGCACGGTTCAGTCCTACAAAAAGAGACTCTGGGTCATTTTTTGTGCTGATCACTTCATGATGCTCAGTACATCATAGTGTCAGTGCCGTAATTCCTCTCCGTAGCTGTATACAGAGCCCTGTCAGAGAGCTTTCCTTGCAAAGCCTTCTGATTCTTGCTTGAAAAACACTCTGCAAGTGTTAATATTATTTCTCTTACTTTGTTGTGGAATATTTATTCAAGCAATATCCCTGCTTTCAGCACCACATCATTTCCCAGTATATATCTGTCACCTGATGCTATAATCCTTTGTCTGAGATATCAAAATGGGCAGCTGCAGAATATACTGAAATGCCACAGTGGAAGAATTATAATGTTGTCTGGGAAACTAGTAGAAGAGCTGAGAACACTTTTAACATGAGGGAAACTCCTCTGCATATAGCAGATTTGTTAAGACATGGCTTCATGGCTTTGGGGTGTTGCAGAAATAACATTTACCGACTTGTCAAATGTTTTGTGGTTGGATCCTGAAAAATCTTCTCTGCTAATGCCATTTTGCAGAGTCATGACATTACTGAGTGAAACAAGGAGAAAAAAAAAATAAAGACATGGATGTGAGGATATGATTTGGGTTAATGGTGCAAACATAAGGTGTGAAAAATACAGACTAAGGAAGAAGCCTCTCCTTCCAGTATGGTGAAGGTAAGTACCTAGCCTGGACTCAGTAGTGGAAAAGCTATTGTAGTTTGCAGTCCTGTATGGATGAACAAGTGGGTTGTGATTAAAGCAGCCCAGGGCACCTATGGAGAATTTTGTAAACCATCAGTACCTTCTGGGTTCTATGGTTTGCCTCGCGCTGAAATTGATTTCATACCATTGTGTGCTTTTTGTAAGGGTTCTTAACAGTGTTTCATTTAATTTTGTGACTTCAAGACACAAAGCAAAAGATTTCTGGTATGAAGAATGCAGCACACAGCAAGATCCTTAAGAAGTCTTTCTCCAACATCATTAATTAACTTTGCACTGATACACAGAGATGAAAAGTACAAGGTTCTGGATTGTGCTAATAAATTAAAAAAATTGATTAGCGATAGGCGCTATTCCTAGTCACCAAAGCAAAGGGAAAGTACCTACTATTTAAATATATTTGGATACTATATTGTATATCACGTATGCCTTTTTTTCCTCCTTTCTTGGACTAAAGGCTGTTAGTTAAGAGTTGGGCCCCTGAAAGGATTTCTAGACAGAGGGCAGGAGAGCCAGCGGTCTGTATTGCAATGCCAAGCTGCTGGTTTTTTCACTCTTCTGACTGACACAGTGGCAATTCTTTCTGAACCTCAGCTCTGTGGGGCACCAAGTGCTCACAGCGCTGAAGTGAGCGTGTTTGGGGTTACAGTCACTCAGCCTGTGTCAGGTCGGAGCCCACAGCCATGGGTTTAGCCCTTCAGCCCACCCAGCACCTCTGCCAGCACACAGGGCTGTGGTGGAGGCTCTCAGCCTGTCGCCTCACTGATGCCTTAGACACAATTTATGTGAGAGATAAAATCGTATTGTGACAAGCGATAAACTCTTCACTCAGGTGTCTTAAGCAACAACTCATTAAACCTCCCAGGAAAGACCAGGAGTTTTGAAATAACTTCTCAAAGGGAAAACTGACACGCTTTCAAGAAACCTAATTGTTTCTCACATTGCTTCTGCCCTGTGACCATAATTTTTTTGATGGACTGGTCTGCGTCTGTGTTCGTTGTAGCTCTACTGGCTTCTGCTGGGTAAGGATATGCTCTACTGCATTCAAAGTTTGCTTTTTTTCCCCAAAGTTCCTTCAATAAGTCAAAAGCAAGGAGGGAATCTACTTTTATCAGGGGATTATGACATACTAGCTACATATCATAGTAGTACTATATACATATAGTACCATATGGTGAAAATACATTTCTATGTATTTTTGCAATAGCTGGAAACTTGCTCTGTTATAAACTTTCTTCAAGAGCCAGCACAAGGACTTAAACTTCAGTAGTCAAAGAGAACTTTGCTCACAATTTTTCTTCTGTTTGAATTTTTCACATCCTTAACATGAGCTTTATGCACATCTTGAATCGTAAAGATTTTTAAGTTTATGATACAATAAGCTAGAGATTATAAAGTTGCCCTGCAGTAGCTTAAGTAGGTGTCTTGCAGTAAAGATTCTAGTCTAAATGATATTACACATTCACTGAAATTACAATTTCATAACACTTCACCAAGACCAGGTCGCTGAACTCAGTTTATTTTTCTACCAGTGTCTAAAAATATTCGCTTACCACTCAATTAGAAATGTTTTGGTAGGGTAACTAAGTAAACACGAATACAGAACATTAATAAAGGCTTTTTCTCCCGTTTCTTTTTCCACCTCTTTCCATATTTAGGCTGCCAGATTGTCTGTGTCTCAGATAAATTAATTTTGGACAGATATTTTTGAGAGCTTAGTAATTCAATGTCTTGAGATATTCCACTTCAGAGGTAGTGCTAGTATTAAAGACAATATAAGCAAATTTCACAGGGACTTGGGAACACAGAGCACTGTGTTAAGGCTACATCAAATGTTGTATTTTAAAGTTGAAAGTGAACAAAGCAGCTGCCAAAAGCTCACATGGCAATCTCCTGAAATGCCTGAACTAAGACATGCTGAAACCAACGAGAACTGTTCTGTGGGGATCAGTGGGCTTCGTGTGTTTGTCTTTGGGATTTGATCAGTGACAATTGAACTGAAAACTAGAACTTCTTCAGCTTCCCAAAGCTCAAGGGAGTTTTGCACCTCATCATTAGATCAGGTTAATTTCATTTAAGACACCTAATAATGCCAGAAGACCTACTGTGTTACAGTCTGAACATCTAACAGTAAACTAAACCAAGAACATTTCAGTGCTGAAACTCTTCTTGTGTTCTTAACTAGGATTTTTGTTGAAGTATCCTATAAAAATGTTTCTGAAACTTAATTCAGTTCAAACAAATACCATTAAGGGGGATTTAGTATATAAACTCTGAAGATATTGTCCCATGATTTGACATCTGCCCCATCACTGAGAAGGACTACCAGATGAGCAGACTTTCTTCAGGCTGTACACTTTACAAAGTTTCAGCCTGACTCTTTGAAAAAGCTAACATCAGGAGTAAATTACTTTCATTTCCTTTCCTTTCATCTGTTCACTGCAGTTCTCAAAATGATATCTACTTACCATTCATCTGATTTTTTTCTATGGTATTTTAGTAGTAAACAACTAACCCTCTTCCTCCCCCTCCCCTACCAATCCCTTGATTACCAACTTACCGAGTGGCAGAACAATGAAGAAAGGTAGCCAGCACAAGATAAACATGCCAACCACAATTCCCAGCGTCTTGGCTGCCTTCTTTTCTCTAGAGAATTTTAAAAGTTTGAAAGCTAAGGAGTTCCTGGGATTGTGACCCTTGGATTTGGTGCTGTTTAATGTGTCCTCATGAATGTTCCTGTAATGAATCCGTAAAGTCAGCTCCTTGGAGTTGGACATTTCTTTCATAACCCCAGCTTCCAGGTTTTTAGTAGTCCTTTTTGCCACTATGTAGACCCGACAGTACATCACGAGGATGACGATTAAAGGAATGTAAAATGACCCCAAGGAAGAAAACAAAGCATAGAACGGTTCTTCAGTGATACGGCACTCTTTGTCGTCCTTGGGTGCTGGTTCTTTCCAGCCCAAAAGAGGCCCAATAGAAATCACCATGGAGAGGACCCAGACACCTAGAAGAGCTAAAATTGCCCTTCTTCTTGTTACCAAAGTTGGATACTGGAGAGAATAGCGTACCCCTATATATCTATCTATAGAAATCGCACATAGACTTAAAATAGAAGCTGTACAGCATAGCACATCAACTGCTGCCCAGATATCACAAAATATCCTCCCCAAAACCCAGTACCCAAGGATTTCCAGTGTAGCAGAGAACGGAAGGACAGTAAAACTCAGCAACAAATCTGCAATTGCAAGGTTAATTATGAAATAGTTTGTAGGGATTCTTAAATGTCTATTGCAAGCAACAGAGAGAATTACCAAGATATTACCTATAATGGCAAAGAGTATAAAGGCACCTAGGATAAGCCCCACAATTATCGCCCTGCTGATATCCAAGGCAGGTGAATCCAGGTTGCTTGCTGTCTCATTGGAGCTGTTTGCAGAAAGATTGCCATTGTTTAGTGCAGACCCTTTCAAATATCCAGGTATTGATGAATTGGATTTATCGCCAAGGTAGGTATTCATCTTAAAAATCATCCTCCATAGCAAGTTATGATCGGATCCCTTGCACAACACGCAGATGGTTTGAGTTCAGTTGAAAGTTATCTCTCCACCCAAGAAGTTGCTGCAAAGCCCCGGCCAGTTTGAGATTGAGAGCTCATCTCCCCAGCAAGCTGTCAGCAATAAGCACATAAAACTTGCACAGCGTGAAGTCCTCTGAAGCCTGTCAGAAATAACAGGCTGTTCAAACTTGCTTAATTTCTCATACGAACGCGTTTAAACAGAAATTAGCAGGCAGAAGTCTTGGCTGGAGCTCGAAAGTAGCTGGTGCGATCATGATGCCCCTGAAATAAAAGACAGGTTTACTGTTTTCCCTTGCGCACTGTGGTTCTGCTGGAAGGATGCCCCCGTCTAGCTGCTCTGACATGCGTCTCCGGGAAGGGCTCGGCAGCATTCAGGCAGCGCTGCACGCGCGGGCTCGCGCTGCCTCTGCCTGTGACATCACCGCGGCCGGCCCCGTCACGGCGCTAGAGGGCAATGCCGTTCCAGTTAAAACTTCCGTAGCGAAGTGTGAAAGCTAAACAAGAGGAATACAGCAATCTTAATTAAAGCGTTTGCCACATAAATCTGGATTGGAAGCCTTTAGAAAAACAGTTTCATTATCTGAGAAAAATATACTCGGTGGGACGTGGTGAAAAAAGCAATTTCGCTACAAAATGATCTAGCGCCCTTTGCCTTTTGCTCACCAAGGAAATGTATTTATTTTGTAATCACATGCCATTTTGGAGAACTAATCATCTGCCACCTTCTAAGGACAAATAGGTACCTTCCAAAAATCCCTAGTTTATTCATAGATTTGGTATTTAATGATGGCAGAAAAACATACATGGAGTAGTTTGTTTCTGATTATAAACTTTCTGTTAATAACGAAAAAGCAAGAGATGATCAAAATCAAAATATCTATTAAGATCTTTATGTTTGTTCTATACTCCTGTGTACTAGGCACATCTGTGGCTTCATCTCCTTTTCTCTGCTTAGATAACTTTTCTAAGCTTAAGTGCATGTGAGTCCCAGCCTTGAACAGACCTGAGCGCCCTCACCCACAGCCAAAATGAAGGCAGTAAAAAGTATTTAGTAGTCTTTTCAAGGTACTCTTTATGCTTAAGTATCTTCCTATATCTTTGCTAAGGGCTGTGAGAGCACTGAGACTGTTGTTAACTCATTGTAGCTCTGGGAAGACCTACAGTATCCTATTAAAAAAAAAAAAAGTAATGACTGATTTATTTTTTATTTAATAGCCTTTATTGTTGAAAACAGTGGTTTCTTGGTTTCTTCATTTTGTGTAGCTCTGGGTCACCAGGTGGGGAGAAATCTCAGATCTTTATAGCTTGGTGCCATTAAAAACAAAAAGTGAAAGATTAGCTCAACATATAACTGCTAAAATACTGTTCTCAACTTTCTGTCATCAGATTATGTCCTACAGCTGTTGTCTGCAGTACTCTGGGTTACTGTATATTGATTTTCCTGTTACAAAATGTACTGTGTTTAAAATAAAAGGTTCATTTTTAATAAGGCAGCGATGGCTGAAAGTTGCAGCTGAGTGCTGTTTTTAAGGACAAACCGTGTAAACAAAAGCTCTGGTTGAATTTTATTTGAGGCGTGTATGGCAGATGTTTGTATAGCCCTTCCCAACAGCAGGGACTATACCAAAGTGCTATCGTTCAAAAACTTTTCTTTGAAACATTTACAAGAATGACATGATAACATGTCATGGAGTCACTGAAGGGAAGAGGAACAAACACTCAATTTATGAGCTTAGCCTCAGCTTTTCTGCCTCTGCTCTCTCCAGGGCAGAGCTTTCATTGCTAGTGAAAACAGTTAGCAGCCTTTGATTTTGGACGTATCTCCTTCACACTTACCATTCTTGCTGGACTCCACATAACCACTCTCGGTTTTGCTTGTGATTTCTGATTTCATTTCACTGCCTGGTCTGTTTAAACTGCAAATTCCTCAGGCTAGAGGCTCTCTCCTGTTGTGAAGGTGCAGACACAGCTGCCGGGAGGAGTGATCACAGCTATGTGTGGCCAGGGTATCTGACTCAGTAGCACTCAGTGGAGTTGTGGTGGTGCAGAGGGCTTGCCTGGGTGTCCTGGTGGGATTGCACAGCCTACAGTGGAGCCTGCATCTTCCTACTCTTGGTTCTTGACCTAAATTAATTAAAGCTAATTTGATTAGATCATTAGGTCCAGGCATAACAATGTTTCAGCCATCAGCATGTAAGAAAATATGATCACTACAAAATGTGGAGAGGTTGGATAAGAAAAGATCGGTGAGGGAGTAAACCGGTCATCTTCAGTTTTTTAGCTGGCAACAGGCAGGATGTGCCCAGCCTGCAAAGAGTAACAGAGTGGCCTGTGGTTTCTCCCTGGCTTCAGCCACATCAGATTAGGATTTTGTAGCCGCGAGGAACCAGATCTTTCAATAGCCTTTCAACAGCCACTTCTGGGAGTCAGCTGGTTCCAGCTTGCTGGCAAGGTCCAGGACATGGTGCCAACAGCAGTGGCACAAA